TCTTCCACCTGGGAATTGAGTTAACAGAAAACCAATGTCAGAGTGTGTGTGTGTGTGTCCCCGGCGCCCGCTTTTCGGTGGCAGGGCTCATTGCCTGGCCAAACTCTTCGATAGTCACGAGTGTAGTGTCACCTGGAATCTCAAGTCACAAAGTATACGAACGGTCTCAGGCCCAACATAAAGCATATGTGCCAATCTCCAAGCTTGCGTCGCAGACTTCCAATATTGATCAATATTGTGAAACTCCGGCTGCTTACGACTGGAATATGAATGGCCAAAGCTTTCATCACAGTCAGGCAAAGGACAAAATTCAGCGGAATGAAATGGTTCCAGCATCTTCACTTCCTGGATCTAGCGACTAGTACAGTATAGCCAGCTGGCAAATGTTGACTTCTTCCATGATCAGGCGCACATCGTCATCAGTTACCTGAGGCAGCGGCACTCACCATGTATAACTGTATTACGCATTGGCTCATAAGAACCCCACAAGCGAAGTGCAAGTCCCACTTCGTGCCACGGTGGGGCCGAGCTGCTCGGTAGCCCAAATCATGGAGGGCTACTTTAAACTCATTGCTGTTCAGTTGTCCAGACTCATCTTTGTCATACTTGTGAAAGGTCCGGATATTCCTTGGCCAAGCCAGCAAGGAAAGGGAGACATGGCCTCATGTCATAAGAACTGTTTCCCACGGAAATGACATACAACTACACATCCAAAGGGCTACATGTCCTTGCAAATTAGTCACTCAAATTGTGCCGAGGCTCTGCTCGTCCATCAGCAACGCCAAGAACCGCATGAAGTCAATCCTCGGTAAAGCGCCGTACTTATCAAAGGGCTGATCATGCTTCCGTGACAGCCTCAAAGACAACTGCAACCGACATGTTCCCCCAAACATTGTAATCCAGCTTTCCAACGTAAACATGTGCTGAACCATGTGGGTCGTGCATGACTCAAACCATCAAGGTTGGTTTCTTGCTTTGCTGGAATCAGCATTTGGGTTTGGGACTCTTAATCTGAAACCCAAGCCACGACTTGCGAGCAGCGAATAGGTATGCAACCACCAGCGCCGGTGTTGCAAGCAGTCTTGGACGCAGGGAAGAACAAAAAAACAGAAGGACTACGATTGAAACGCAGCAAGCGTTTGCAGGTGTGCTCATGTGCAAGGCGCCGTGCCAAGTCAGTGGTGTTTGCTCCCGCATCATTTTTCGTGGGTTTGTCCAACAGCCGCTGAGCTGCGTAAAAAAGATACAGAAAATTTTCCCTCCATCTGTGCGTGGGTAAAGGTCGCCGTATCCAATCGATGCAACGAGGGTAAAGCTATACCTGGCGGCGAAAAGAATTCGGGCACTGCAGCCCAGATTCTCAAGCATGCAACCACGCAAGCCACGAACAAATCAATCCAAGCAAGGCACATGAAGCTCCGGCTGTGAAATACTCCCTGAGCTGACATGCTATCCACAAAGCGGCGAGCACAGCAGGTTACAGCTTAACTAATTAACGTGGGCTATATATTCACACGCTGCCTGAAAAGAGCTTTGACCATTGCAATTGCTTCGGAAGGAAAGCTGAGGCACCAGTCAAACTAAAGTGGCTGCGAAGCACCTTCTTGCTGTCAGGGCGCACTGAAGTCCCATGCCAAATCCTCACCCCTCGGAGGTTGAAGCCGCTGTTGACGGCCAGAAGGGTCTTTAAAACGATGGACGCGCATTGAATTTGAGGGTTTCAAAAACTGTACTGTAAATGAGTGGGAAAAAACACACACATGCCACACGCCAGCCTAAGAAACCAAATCCTGAAAAGTCCAGGAAAACCCTATGGCGCCTGGAGGTCTTCAAAAGGAGAAAGGGCCAAAAGCTCAAGACCAAAAGCGACGAGCAGGTCGAGATGACGTCGTACGCTCATGGCTGCCAAGCTCATTAGCACTTTACTGGAAATTGGAGTCAAAGCTTGTTCAAAGGTTCAAAGAGGCAGGTGCGTGCAGCTGATCAGGCTGCATATCCTGAGGTCACCATAGGGAGCTTCGTTGGGCACAGCTCTATGGGCCTCCTGCGCCCCCCTGCTCATGGTAAAAGAAAACAATTCAAAAGAATCCCTGTGACTACAAGGGGCACACACACACACACGCTTCCCCAAGGGAGGCATCTCTGCCCTAGAGCGTCCTTGCGCCTAGTAGTAAGGCCAGGAACCCCTAGTAGCGTCAAAGTGGAGTCCTGTTACTAGTAAGGCCAGGAGCCCCTAGTAGCATCCCACTCTAAGGTCCCGACGGGAGGGAGGGGTAGGGAGAGAAGAGAAAAAGAAAGAGAAGAAAGGAAAGAGCGAAGAAGGTGTTCCCAGCTACGACACAAGCGTCCAAGGACACACCAGAAGAAGAGAGGAGAAGGGTTCCCAGCTATGACGAAAGCATCCAGGGACACCCAAACAAGAAGGAGGGAAAGGAAAGGAAGGAGAAAAGAGAGAGAGGGAAAAGAGAAGGAAGAGGACAGGTGTTCCCAGCTACGCACAAGCGTCCAGGGACACACCAGTAACAGAGAGAGGTGAACCTGAGTATTACATTCAGGAACACCCCAAGATGACAAAAAGGGGGAGAGAGGAGGGGAGGGGGCTAAGGTCGCGACAGACTCCAATGAGTCTAGAACAAACTTGGGCCGCTACGGCCACGTACGCCGTGCCAAAATGGCTGGCTGCTTAGACCGCTGCGGTCACGTAAAGGCATGAGCCAGCTTGGAATTCAATACTCCAGCAAGTCTTGGCAAATAACTTTGGCGTAAGCCTACTCCGCCCGCTCTGGGCACGTACATCTCTGGGCAGGGGAGATAACGACAAACCCCCGTTCGACGGGTCCACGGGAGGCACTCTGCGGGCTCATCCCGGGCTCTCACTAGGAGAGACACACTTATGATTGGGCGTACGGAACTGAATGCCACATGCCACACGCCAGCCTAAGAAACCAAATCCTGAAAAGTCCAGGAGAACCCTATGGAGCCTGGAGGTCTTCAAAAGGAGAAAGGGCCAAAAGCTCAAGACCGAAAGCGACGAGCAGGTCGAGATGACGTCGTACGCTCATGTCTGCCAAGCTCATTAGCACTTTACTGGAAATTGGAGTCAAAGCTTGTTCAAAGGTTCAAACAGCAGGTACGTGCAGCTGATCAGGCTGCATATCCTGAGGTCACCATAGAGAGCTTCGTTGGGCACAGCTCTATGGGCCTCCTGTGCCCCCCTGCTCATGGTAAAAGAAAACAATTCAAAAGAATCCCTGTGACTACAAGGGGCACACACACAGATATATATATATATATACATATACCTGAGAAGGGAGGGGAAGAAAGCCAGCCTTTGCGCCAAGGCGGGTGCCCTCAGGGTTAGCTTGGCGTTTCCAGGCATGGCCGCCTTTTTTTGTCTTAGGTCAGGGGCGTGTTGGAGGGCAGTGTGGAGAAAGAGTAGCTGGAAGTGGTGAAGTTGACATCGCAGGTAGTCTCATAGGAGGTAGAAACAGAAAGTATAGTACACAGGTTCGGGGGGGGTGCCCCTTTTCGTCGTGGTTGCGGGTCGTATTGGAGGTGAAAAAGGGCACCCTCGAAGGAAGTGAGGGGTGGTAGCTTGCTGTGTGGTGCCGACCAGTGAGCAAAGATGGTTATGGGGGGTCGAGGGGGGGAGGTTATCGGGAGACTTTTGGGAGGAGACATATATGTATATAGGTAGAGTGGAGAAAGAATTGCCGGAAGTGGTGAAGTTGATATTGCAGCCCCTTGAGCGTGCAAGATGAAGTGATTGGTGAACATCGGGCAAAACTTACCTTTTATGTAGTGAAGTCGATGTTGCAGACACTTGCATAGGAGTAGAAAGAGAAGGTAGAATACGTTTCGGAGGTGAAAAAGGGCACCCCTAAGGAAGTGAGAACCGCCTGCTGCGTGTTGGCAATCAGCGGGCAAAAAGAGGGGGGGGAGCCCGTGGGCGAGGCTAGCGGCAGGCTTTGGTGAGGATACTTATGTGTATACAGGGAGAGTGGACAAGGAGTAGCTGGAAGTGGTGAGGCTGGCAAGCTGGAGTTTACAAGGTGCTTAAACTGTTTGTGGGAGGTGTTTGACGCTGCTCACATCCATCCAGGCTTCTCTATAAAATGAAGACTTCTCTATAAAATGGTCTCTATATAATCACGCTACCCAGGGTTACATACTTCGAGCAAAAGACCCATCATCAAAATCCTTGCCTCTATAAAATCCATGCACCCAGGGTTCATATTGCCCCAAAACAGGGGTTTATAGAGAACCACGGGAATTTTCCTCTATAGAATACCCTCTATAAAATGCACCAAAAAGACCCCTAGGGTGCCATGGTTTATAGAGGAAATTCGTTGGACTATGATCAGAACATCATCAATGGGCTCAGTGCCTGAAGACCTTCCAGCAGCTCAGGCTTCAAGATCCAAGTGGCTCTCGCACTTCAGCGAAGCCATGTTTCAGCAAGCGGCTGTAAGTCTCCTTGGTGGAGGGGCAAAGACACCAGTCTGGGGGCAAGGTTGTTCCGTGCTTGAGCCGACAGTACCCCAAAGCAACAAATCTACATCACGCTTGATTCAGACTACATATGTAGACGGCACAGCATCTTCTAAAAAAGAACCAACCAACCCCACGCTAGTAACATGACGGGATGTTCCAGGGCAGAGTTACTTCAAAGTAATCTTTTTGGTCGCTGCGTCGTCTCAAATTGGAGGCCCAATGTTTTACAGTATGACTTCCAAAAATCCCAAAGGGCGAAAACTTGACGGATCCGGATCAAGGACAGTGGCATTTGAGAGTTCCGCTTTCAGCTGCGCTTGCAGGTCTAAACGTGATCGTAGTTCCTTTGCTTCCTGCAAAGCAAGTTGAAGAAATTATATATTCCGACAACGAGGAACAGGGAGAATATCACAAACAAAGCCATAAAGCCTGTGGACATGGTGCTTTGTACATACATTTGGCGTGACAAAGCCGTCAGGTGCCTACAGGTCTAAGGATAATTGAAAACGCGCAAAACTAGTTGAACTATGTTGAACTGAATAATTGAATGCAATCTTCCAAGATTTATAAAACCCAGCTCTACAGTATTTGTCTTTTCTTGGAGCGGCGTGGCAAAGCATGTGCGCGAACGATCGTGCGCTGGTACGCTTGCGCGCTGGCATCACCATTTGTGGGCGTTGCAAAATGTTTGTTTCTCGGCCAGGCCGCCATGCGAGTGCTTACCATTACAGTAGCAGCTGAATTTTGCTTAAAAAACATCAAGATCAAACCCCTCAGACTTCAAGGTTATGGCACAAAGCATCAGTCCATCAAGAAAAATCTCAGCATGCCGCATGCCCCAAACGTCCAAAAGTGCTCAAGCCTTCCCCGCCTCCCCACGCTCTATGGCGCACATAACCAACCTCAAAGAGCACAGGTGATCAATACAACAGATTGGATGGAAGCGTCTTACCCCAAAAAGGCAAACTCGAACACACCCAACTAAGACTGAATATGTGCCCTAAGCACATCTTTGACAATGAGGTCGGCCTTGGCTTGTTAGTCTCTATGTTGGTCGTGCTATCTTTGAAAAAAAAACATTATGATATACAGTACATAACAAGAAAAGATTTTTGACATGCGACAATGCAACATGGACAAGGGTTACCCATTGATTTGGCTGAAATGGAACTATAGTACGAGTCTTGAAATGACGTGCAGTATGAGATGCTACCCTATTTTGTGGGTGGGTTTGAAGCTATCCCACTTAAAGGGATCATGGGTTCTTACCCATAGTAACAAGAAAACTGACAATTTCTGGTTGATCCGACTTCTCTAGGGGCATTGATGTCTCAATCTGGAGTAGGTTGCAACTTGTGATAGGGCTTGTGCAGGCGCATACAGCAAGAAATACACGGAGGGGGAGATCTATTTTACCAAGCCATTCGTCGGGTCCGAACCGGTGCCCAACTGCTGGGTGTCCACCCAATACACCTGCCCTGACTGAGTGATCCCCAATGGAAGGAAACTGAAATTGACTGAAACATCCTGCCTCGGGGGATGCCATGTGGCGGGGGGATGCCATGTCCTTTGAAGCAAGGAGCTGTCCCATCAGGACAAGGAGGTATGCTAGCAAGAACGTCCTGACCTCGGATGGATGGCGGTTGTTCATGCATCCATGAAAGAAAAGGAATGGAGACCCTTTGCAAAAACACAAACGAGAAGGGCAGGGAGAAGCAGCGGGGAAAACAGAAGAATGCTTTGTCCGGGACTTATGCCCTAGTGAGCAACAAAAGGTTTAAAGAAACACCAGGAGGGGAGCGGGGCCCTATGGACCAGAGCGATTGTCCAGAAATAGGGTGCACTTTCCCAAAAGTCTTGCGCATAAGATTCACTCCAGCCTTCGCCTTGAGGTTATCAGCGGAAGGGGGGTGTAAGAGCACAGAGAAGAGAAAGGCACGTTGTTCTGCGTCTCGACAGGAAAGGCCCACGTCAGGTTTGATATATTCCAATCAACCCACCAAGAACGACTTCCGGAAACTTCCGGAAAAACGTGAAAACGAAAGCGCTCGAAATTGCGAAAGAAAAAAAGAACACCTAGTCGGGTGCAGTATGTGGAGGAGGCAAGATCCAAATCCTGCGGTCCAAAGTACAGTGTTTGTATAACTCCCTATAGATTTGGATCGCCTTTGATCCCTTTGAGATTGGTCAGTTCTGTGAAAGTCGTGGGGTGTACTGATGCTTTTCCAAGAGTATTTATACTGGGCCCCAATGAGATAGTTGTGGAGCTGCCAGAGTCCAAGAAAATAGCTTTAGAGAAAGGACTTGGTCAAAATTTTAGAACGTTTCGTTTTTGTGGATGGTTCACCCCTCAGGAGTTGTCCAAAATTAATTTCATATCTTCCCATCAACGTCTTTAAGAAGCAGGATGGAAGATGTGAAAGTTTGATGATTGCAAGCATAAGACATCAGAGTCAGATGTCTTCAAATTACAGGCGCGCGATGTCGCAATGAAGCCATTATATACAGGTATAAATCTGTAAATAATTGGATTGGTTTCGCAATGAAATTGCACAGGATCATAATATGTGTCTAGAACGGGATGGGAAACGGCTCTGGGCTCGTTTCCCAGAGTATCGCGCAGGTCTTGTGAGGATGTGGCATCTTTGTATGAGCGATGAGACGAGACTTAATCTTTATGAAGAAGAGCCGACCCTCTCGCCAATAAACAGTAGGTAGCTGTCTGCCACAGGTCTTGGTGCGCATGTTTGTATGAAGGTCACATGTGCGTCCTTGGCAAATTGGAAAAAATATTCACACGAGAGCCATCGAGAGCCTCCGAGAGCAGAGAGCTCGGCGTGATTGATGTATTGCACACTTTGCGAGCCGAGATGTAGCCACAACAGCGAAAAAAATCACCCGATTGATTGCCGTTTGCTTATATTAAAGCTTGAGTGTGAGGTTTGGTTATCCAGCACCCTGGTATGAGGGTTGTTTGGGATAATCACAGCTTTCGTCGGGGGGGGGAAAGGTACAGTTGGAAACCGTGTGCAATCTGGTGATGAGTGGGGTGGTCGTCACCCCGTTAATATTGGAGATGACACAAAATGCGCTGGTTCCGATGTCGGGTCGGGAGTGGGAAGTGAAAAGGTCATATGCTGGTTCTGATGGCAAGTCACGGCGGTGCAATGGCATGCCCGAACAGAACATGTTGGAAGTAGGGGCCTTCGGGCATTCTAACAATCTGTGGGCATGCGCACATGTCTGCTTACAATCAGGGCAAAGTTCATCGCTAGAGGCACCCTTGGCTTTAGTGTCTTCAGCCTGATATCCGACCAAATCAAATCCCAACCAGAGCGTAAGTGGGGGTAGGTCTGATGATTCAGAAGGCCGTCAGGGTCCAGGACCAATGGGCCCGTGGGCGGGTCCTTTATGTAAATGGTTCTTGTCATGTGAGGGTAATAGTGGTGCCGCCGCAGTCGTGAAACCATGAGTAATACTGATGTAAGTAATGAAGGGCCATCCATGGTTGGCTGCTCGTTCCGTCAAGATATCGGCCTACATCAGCAATTGCAAGAATCGCATTGCCGCCGCCCTTAAGCGATGTCTTTCTTTGTTTTCACTATGGGATCTAAGGAATCTATTTATGAAGGTCTCATCTCCATGATTGTTGCCAAATGGCCACACCAATTCTTACGCCCAAGCAGGATATGATGGGTGGGAAGTGTTTGGACCAATGCTTTCAGGTAGAGTCGGCTATAGGGCGGGGATATGTCCCAAGATCGTGATGGGTCGTCCGTCTTTGATTGAACGTGGATGCAAAATATTGGCCAAGAGGAGTGCCCGGCCTTTGCATCTGTTGTTGATCCCGCGGCCCCAAAAGTCCCAGGATACAAGTTTGGTCTCGGACGGCTGGAAAAGGAAGCATCTGGAGTTCTTTCGCGCGCTGAGAGCGGCGTGAAATCGCTTGATTCTGTTAAATAAAGTCCAAGTCAACAGGTGGGATCAATGGTGTATCAACACAGGCTGCAAATGGTTGCAGCCTATCCACTCAAAATATTTTTGGATGTTTGTGGCAAGAATTGAATCAAAATGCATCAAAATGTGACGAATGTGACATTTGGTGGGTTGGCATGTCATCTGGGGATGGAGACAGTGAAAAAGTTCCCCGAGACAGAAGAATTCCCTCCAGATGTTGGATAGTTAAGGCATTGGAGTTTTCCGCAAGAACTCGGATGGAGACGGTTCCATATGTGGCTTTTTGATGCGTTTTAAGATGTTTTAAGCGATCTGCACTGGTCGATTGCAATCTAGCTCGATTCGTAGATTACCTTGAGAAATCGCAAAAGTCGTGCGCTGATTGTAGAAGCGTGTTGGAAACCACGTGGCATGCCAGAGCTCAGAGGAAAGGCATTGTGGCAAGAGCAAAGCAAACTCACGTAGCCTCGTTCAGAGATCTTGTGAACTGGAGCATCTGAAAGGGATCGCTAGTCTGTTGAAGCATGCTGAAGCTATCCAGCCTGTGAATCGTTCGGGTCATGTGATTCAATTTCACTTCAGTGGCTGAGGCAACCGAATCATCCAAGTGACATATGTCCATGCCTTCCACAGTGCGAATCTCCAAGGAAGTATCCTTGGGCAATCATTTCACAAGGCTAGCGGCTAGGTGAAGCTAAACTAGCTGAGCCTATGTACAAAGGAACAGTGGTAAAGAAGTCACAGCTGACATCACAGGATTTGGGGGTCAAGTTGCGTCTCGCTGAAGTACCTCCATCGCAGTCCTTAAATCAGGTCCCAAGATGTCCCAAGCATTCATTCGGAAACTTGGATCCCTTGAATTCTTCAGGACAAGCAATTGGAGGAGGTTGTGCACTGCATGCGCATGTCAGGCACTGTATGTTCAAAACAAAACGTCCAAACGACCTCCTGGTGCAGCCTCTGTGACATTCATTCAGCAGTCTTTATTCAATGTTGATTCCGCTGGGCCATGCCAAGGCTCTACTCAGGCTTTGCTCTGCCATTTCGACCCATCAGCCATGGCGACAGCAGTTCCAAGCATTGATGAACCTAGTATGATCCTAGTATGCTGAAGTCAGGGGGTGTCCGCCACTATCTTCAGAAAGAGACTTGGATCTTGGCACCCTCAGGAAATCAAACTGTGTGCTTCTCCGCCTCACACTTATAGTCCAAGCTCCCATCTGCCCTGTGTAAGGCGTTTTGCGCATCGCTTTTCCACAGACACCTGTGAGCCTGTGAAACAAGGCAAAAGAACACGCAAGACCTGTGCCTTGCAAAATCTAGAATAGGGATGGTCACCGAGACATTGTCTGACTCGTCCTATGAGTACCTTCCCTGTCATCAACCAAGCTTGCACATGCTTGCACTGGAGCCACCCGCTTTTCTTGCAGAGCTTTGCCGCATCTTGATATGTGTTCAACCAATCGATCCAGCTTGGACCATTCAGCTGGGGTCCCCGTAAAGAAACCACAGGTCGATGCGTCGGTGTTTGTAACCTCCTCGCCTTAGCGTGCACACACACACGCACTCTGGCGGTGTAGCGTGAAGGATTATCCAATATGCAAACACAACAGGTTCTTGGATAGTTCTTCTGTTGACTCGCTCGTTTCCTTCAAATTGTGCTGACCCTGGGCTTCGACACCAGCTTTGGGAGGTCCAATCCGTCTTGAAGAAGCGCTCGCCGCGCCATAGCACTAAGCGGTTCCTCGGAGCACCAAGGCTTGAAACGCTGCCTAGCAGCAAGGACGCTACTAGTAACAAAGGGCATCGCTACTAGGAACAAGCACGCTACTAGTAGCTCCTGGCCTTACTACTAGTAACAAGAAGCTACGAACGTAACAAAGGGTATTGGCTGGTGGGAGTCACCCAAGGGCATAGGAAGCCCTTCAAGCTCGGGGCCCTACTGGCTGCAGTTAGCTGCGTTTGGATTGACATCGGGCAGGTAGCTTTGATCCATTCTTATTTTACTCTGGGCTGGTTGAATGCCACATTCATCACAATCACTCTAAGCCGGCTTGCCCACAGGTTGCAATGAGTCCGACACGTTTTGTACGGAACCACACTCGATTTGGAATTCTGCGCCAGAATACGTTCCTGCTTTGGCCAATCGTCCTTCCAAAGGAAACAATGTCTCAACATGTCTGAGCAAGTGCAGAGGAGCGTGTTTAGGACTGCATGTCTCTCATGAAGCGCGCAAGCACACACACACTGACTGGACGTGGACTTGCAGCTCCAACAGAAATTGCTTGTGGCACTGACCAACCCAAGATGGGAAGGTGCGCAAAACTGACCAGGTACTACAAGTGTCCAAGCCTTCTTGGCCTGTGCGGAATTCCCGTCCTCAAGCCGAGGGCTCCAAGCATATCTCGCAACACCCGTCAATCCTACAGCGCACAGGACCATTCTGGCAGTTCTAGATTCAAAGCAGCAGCAGCAGCAGCAGCAGTAGTAGTAGTTTTAGTAAGAGTCGGAGTAGTAGAAGATAGTAGAAGTAATCACGCCCTCACAAAACATGACATCCTTACATAGAACCCTCTAAGGGCATAAGTAGATATAGTAAGTGTCGTCAATATGCCTTAGTCGGCTTGCCTTCAGCCGTTGCATTAAAGATCTCCAGGCCATTCCCTGCAGCGAAAAATCAAGCAGGCTAGGAATTGTCTTGCAGAATCCTTCATGCCATGAATTGTCCCATTGTCTGTGGGTGGCAGACTGCTCGAAATCAAGAATGTCCAAAACAAGTCAAAACAAGTGTCCAAGACCTCCCCAAATCGTGCCTTGCTTGTTAAGGCTTGCAGCCATTGGAGTGGTCCACAAGCACAGGGCAACTTTGGCCGGCCTCGAGTCACACAAGAAGCATGGTTCGTCCTTGCCGCCTCTATTGATCTCCTACTTGCTTATCAGTTTGCCTGACCTATTTCGCCAAACTCCTATACAAGTGCCATTGGCCTCTAAGAGATCAAGATCCACCGGCCAACTGGGTTCTCTTGCAGTGAATGAACGCCCAGTCCAGGCTGTGGCCATTCCACATCGTACTTGTGCGCGTAAATGCTGCCCAACCTGACATGAGCAGAGGCCACAGGCAGTCACCCTGCTGTTCTGCAAAGGCGAACTAGCCACCTACAGTATATAACATGTTCAGGCACCTGCTGACAAGTTTTCCTTCCCACCGCAACTGCCTTGGTTAGCCACACCACTAAATGGCTGCCCACATTCCGCAGCGTCTAGAATCTACACAATGGGGAGGGACAGTAGATACAGTAGGAAAAGATTGAACATGATTGAAGCAACCAGTGGACCTTATCCTTTCTTGTCTGGAGTGGCAATTCATCATAATCAATGCATTTGTACTATCTTCAATTGGCAAACTCTGGCCGGCCTGTGTGGACCAAGTGCGGAAGGCCTAGCAGGAACGGCTTGTCCGACCGTTGCCCCCCGTCATTGGCTGTAAGCAATTGAGTGTGCGCAAATGGTTTGCTTGCCGCAGATGTGATATACATTGATATACCGGAAAACCCGGCATGTCTTTGTCTTTGTGCCCTGGATGATCTCAAGGAACTCGAACTGCACAAAACATGTGCATCCCATCACATGAAATGTGGCAACAAGGTTCCGGCATCCGATGTGCCAGTTCAGCTCCTAGCTGAAGAAGAAGCTCCGCCTACAGAGTAAGTCGGGTGGAATGGGCGGCTCAGGCATTCCACAAAGCACTTGTGCCCTGTTGTTTGAGTCGCGGCTCTGGCAGACTCTAGCAACAAACCAGCCAGTGGGGGTTCGCGATTTCACACCGAAACAAAATTTACTTTTCTTGGTCTTTAGATGTCTTTAGTCGTTAGTTCAATCATGTTCAATCCACGGGCAGCCCTGGGTCGCTTAGCTTCCACACATGCAGGCCATCCAGCAAGTGAGCTTTCAGGTAAGACCCTCCAACTTGCGGAGAGTGCCAAATGGTCGCCTGTAGGCAAGCCGAAATCGAGCAACACGGAGAGGCCCATGTCACTTCATGTCACTCTCCACTGACAGAGCCGCCCACAGCTACCCCCCCTCCTCCAGGAAGTGCTCCGTGAGGGCTGCCAAGGCGGTGGGATTCAGCGCCGCGTCGAGGAAGGCCATGCCTTCCTGCCGCAGTCAGAGGCAGAAACACCTTTGGGCCTTGGGGGGTTGGAGCAGCTACCCTGGTGGTATAAGAATCTAGTGAGAACCCTGGACACCACTTTTCCACAATAGACCGCTTCAGGCATCCAAGCTCAACACCTCAAGCTTGGCAAGCTCATACCTTGGGGGTGCCCAGCAGCTGTTCATACTTCATTGACTTCGCCACCACCGACTTAGAGGAAATGTAGGCATAGACTGAGAGCATCACCACCAGCACAGCCAAGAGCGTTCGAACTTCAAAGGGCGTGCCGAAGGTGGGCAAGCAAATCTCCAACAAATAGGTGACCAGAACCGCCAAGGCTTCACCCATATTCTTTAAAACCGAATCCAAATAGACCAACAAATACAAAGTGCTCCATGCCTTGAGCATATGGGACACGGCCACCGCCACAGTGCAGGCGTCCCATCCATGAAAGAAACCGTGCTTGAGACTCTGCCCATCGAAGCAAACCAAGAAGGATAAGAGCAAAGTTCGAGACAAACGGAGCTGGATTGCCTGAACATAGACAGGGTCGTTGAATTGCTTCGTGTACCGATCGGTCAAGACCGCGGCCAAGCAAGAGACTGCTACCTTGAGGAGGACATTGAAGGTGCCGAGGAGCTTTTGGCTTGAATTGCTCTCATCACCAGAGAGGTCCAAACACATGTAGACAGACATTGAGCACACCACCAGTGCAAGGAGATTCCACTGGAAGAGCGATTGGCGTTGACCACTGATAGCCCAGAGCATCAGCGCCGTGATCAAGAGCCTTGATTGCAGCAAGATCTGGTATGCGCCACCGCCTCACCAAAAGGGTGGCATGCACCCGCGTCTTGTGCATTCGTCATGTCAACCCAAACGGCATGTCCCATCAAATGTGAACTTTCAAACCCCCTACCTAGGGAGACCAGGCTTCGCATCTCCAGGTAGTCGCCACATCCGAACAGAAAGCCGACCACCAGGAAGATTTTCCTCTCAGGAGTGCGAGAACAAGAGTTCTAAAGAAGATCTACGTGTTGTATGATAGAGCATGAGTTGCCGCCGCGACGCAAAAATGAGCGCCAACAATCCAAGGTCAACTTGTCACAGTGAATGGGTTTCCAAAACTGAGCTCTGCCATATTTGTTAGAGCTAGTAAGACTACCTGAAAAGCCAGGTATAGATGAGAAGCTGCTACCAGGATCCACCAGTGACCAGGTATACGTATTGTTTAAATATATATATATATATCTGTGTGTGTTTTTGCAATATTTAGATATATATGATATATATATATACGTATATATATATACCGCATTGATACTTGGCATGGACACCTTGCATCGGTAATTACTTGACCTACTGGGTGGAGACGTATGGAGGCCACCACTCATCACATCCCACACGTCCAGTGCATATCCAAAGCTCAGGGGTTTAGGTTGCCAAATGTTGGGCCATTCGCCAGTGCGAATCGACACCATTTGCGCGACAACCATTGAGATGAAAACCTCCGCCAAATTGGCAGTCTGGGGGCCATAGGCAAAGAACCTTCAGTTTCGAGAGGCAGCGTTGATCCAAGCAACAATGTCTACAGTACCTCACCAACCTCTTCAATGATATAATAATCAAATAACTGCTGTGCTTTTGTTGTCCATGAAGTGCAAAATCATACGAACTGAATCAAAACAAGGCCAGCCAAAGCACTTCTGTCCAGAAGCATCTACACTCTTGGAGGCGTCGATGATCTCAGACGCAGCTTGGGAGGCTCGAACAGTCTCATCAGTGGTGCACTTTCATGAACGTACTTAGCCGCTAGGCTTAGCCTGAATTTGTGTAATCTATACATTGCTTCCTGCCATGTGTCCTTACTTCTACCATCCTGGATGCTAGGACAAGAAAGGAAGGAGAGCCGTGGCGTGGTACAGACTTCAGTCACCCCTCCTTCCCATGCCAAGGTGCTGTGGGATGGATAGCACGGATAAAGACAAAGAAAATGAAAAGAGCTGTTTTCACTGATCTCGAAGGCGGGGCTGTCGCCGACTTGAACTCCAAGCCGCTGTAAGGAGAGGCCATGGATGCTGAACTGAAAGGGAAGCTTTCTTACACTGGCTTTGCGCTGGCTCTGCACCACTCTGTGGCTTGGATACTGCACAGGTGCATTGCAAGCTTGTTGGTGGCACACCTTCACTAACTTGTCTAAAACGGTCTCTATTCATTCTGCAGGTTGTGAAACTTCTATGCAAATGTCATGAATGGGCAGGCTGCTTTGAGCCTTCCTGGAAGGGCAAAAATGCGCTTTCTCATCTCTCCCCCTTTCTCTATCTGATGCTATATTAAATCCCTGTCTCTGTCCCCCTCCCTGGTCTCATACATCCAAGATGTTCGTTGACCAAATAGACAATGCAACGCTTCCCGCAACAATTGCACAACGCACGTGTTTCCCAGAAGGGTGCAGGCAATGAGACGTCTACAGTATATACTATATACGAGTCTGAGTCTAGGGTTGAAAAACAGAAGTCGAAGTGATCTCTTTTGGATTCTTCTGGCACGCTTGAAGCTTAAAGCCAAGTCTTGAGAAGGACGAGGCAGCGCCCTAATAGTCGAACGGCTGTAAGTGCACGTCAACAACGAATGTGGTTGGTGACGTCAATCAAAAAAAACTGCATTTATGTCCGGCAGAAGTTCCCGGCAGAAGGAACAATTTTGGAGACAGGAATCTCGAAAAATCCACCCACCAAAGTGGCAAGCAATCTCACAGTGGAGGTCAAAAGTCTCGAGAGCGCTTTCTAGTTGTCAAGTGCCAACTGACCAAGTAGAAAAACGGCACAGCTGTAGACAGTAGGTCTTTTCCTGCGATAAGGCCATATGAGCTTGAACGCTGGGATTTGTAGTGGTTGCTTTTGCTATGACGATGGCTTCCGTGTTTCATATTGCATGCTGGTGGCACCCGCACGCCTTCCGGGTTTAGTGTGTCTACATCTGCATAGAGCAACGGCATCTAATCATGCACCAAGACCAACGACACTTGATCTGTAATGACATGACAGCGGTTGAGACTGCACGCAGGGGTGGGAAATTATCGTTGAATCTTTGCATGCCGCATTATTGCAGGTACGGTTCCGTGGGCCCGTGGGCCCGTGGGCCCGTCGCGGTCCCGTGGTCCTGTTGCGGTCCCGTGGATGGGCCCGTCCACGGTCCCGTCGGTCCCGGGGTCCCGTGGGCCCGTGGGCCCGTGGGCCCGTGGTACGAGAGTAGACTCTTCTCGGCACGGGCCCAAACAAGCAGCTTGTTCCGCATCAGGACGCTGCCTGAAGGAAAGTTTCCTCGAGCTTTGCCCAGTTGGCTTTAGCATCCAGAACCTCAGTCTGGGGACCCCGCTGGCTCTTCAAGTGTGATGTGGCTTTGAAGTGAGCAAATCCGAGAACTAGCCAACTCTCTGTAGGGCCTTTGAGGCCATCCAAGTCCGAAAGTCACCAAGCAACACAAGCACGTGTGTGTGACACGACCACACAACAACCACTGAGCTTTGCACCCCACTTTCCAAGCGTTCCTGCCAAAGAAAAGAACCCCACCACGCATGTGGAGTCTTGACAGCAATGTTACGTTCATAGAGTTATTCAGAGTGGCTGTAAAAAGTCAAGTGGATTGATCTTTTCTAGCATCTGGAACTGGAGCAGCATGGCCGGGTGAATCTCTAGCTAGTTGGCCTTTGTCAGTCTTGTTCCCTATCCTACGGTCGTATGGTTGCAAGGAGGCTGCTAACCCGTCTCAACATGGGAGTAGCACCAGATGAGGCACATGGATTGCACGATCCAAGTAGGGCCTCAACCTCGGCAGGCAGGCTCGCTCAGCCCCGTTTCACACGAGAGAGAGAGAGAGAGGAAATAGAAAGTGAAGCTATAAGAGCTGCAGATTGAACCAAGTGAAAACTATATTATATGGCTGCGGGCTGCGGGTATCCACCCAATAGGTCATAAAGGGGGCCAAAGATGTACAAGCAACATCAAACAATATGCTTGTCCATTCGCAACAATCGGAACCTGCTCAGGCAAGCCCTGTGCAGCTCCTTTTCAAGCATGAAGGCTCACTGCAGCAGCCAAAGCTCTGCCTCGCACATCAAATTGTCACGGGTCTCAAGTCTCAAGCACGAAGAAACCAGGCCACAGGGTTTTAGGATGGTCTAGGTATAGGTATAAGCTTTGCAGAAACACATTGAGAAACTTCTGCAAACACAAGCGAAAGCCACAAACCCCCGAGGCTCGTTTCAGCTCTCAAGTCCTCACTACCGAGGCTACACCTTTCAGCTTTCTTCAAAACTGCTTCGCTCACCTGCGGCTTGAGCATTTGCGCGGAAGACAAACGTCCTGCGCCCAGCTCCAAGGCTAAGCCGGAGAGCACCATGGCCTTGGTCGAAGCAAGTAGCCGCCAGGAACTTACATGGACAAGGAGACATACTTGGGATTCCAAAAACATCTATACAAATAGAGTAGTGGTGGACAAGTATTCCAGCCATCCACTTTGTATCCAGATGAAGGGGGAAAGAGGAGGAGGATGAGGAGGAGGAGGAGGAGAAGGAAGAGGAGTAGTCTGAGTAGTAAAAAGTCAATTAGAGCAGCCGCTCCCGGTTCTTGTGTCATCGCTGCTTAGCACTCTCTCCCATGTCTCTATCCAAGCCACACAACGTTGGAGCATCACCAAATGTCCTGGGAAGTCCTGATCAAAGTTGTATCGCGTGTTGGCTCATTTTTGCGTGAAGCGGGCGGGGTTATATGACATGACAGGCTCAACAAAGTTCCTCGAATGTCAAACTGAATGTGATGGAAAAGCTTCGCACGGGCAGTCACGGTACCCTGGTTCCAAGCTATTGTAGAGGACTCTACTAGGAGCAAAGGGCATCGCTACTAGGAGCAAGGACGCTACTAGGAGCAAGCATTGTCACGCCAACTGCATTGCTTTGCACCTCGATGTCATCGAGCTCACCTCCCCTGTCAGGAACAAAGTCGTACAACCTCTCTGTGTGAATGCACGACACGCGACATGGGACTGTTCATTGTTCTTGCTTGTGTACCTACAGTAATCGGAACATGGCAAACAAGTATATACTGAAGTTGCAAAATGCCAAAGATACTGATTCCTGCGCCTCTCATTTTGCAATATTTTGCACCATGGGTTACCGTTGGTTTGGAGAGACATGTGCTAGAACCTTGTCCTATCTCCCTATGGCCCTATGGCCCTATGGATTGCGCCTCAAGTAAGAATCCAGCGTCATGATGTCAATGTCTACCTGCAGATGATCTGGGTTTGGTATGGTTTGGTTGGAAACTGTTCTTGCCCTACTCCGCAGGTCTGCTTCAAACAAAAAACAATGCCAATCGCTGATATTGTTGAGGTCCCAGCTGGCATGCCAACTTTGGGCTCCAAGCGATTCCTCAGACAAGCATCCTACGAAAGATCTGACACCACGAGGTCCATTTTAAAGAGGTCTTTTTAAGCTACTAGTAACAAGTGCATCGCTTCTAGTAACAAGTGCCTTACTAGTAGTAACAAGAAGCTACTAGTAACAAAATGCTTGACCATCTTTGACCCTGATCATCCTTCACCTGTCAAGGCTCATGTCGTAAGGATACGGGCCCCTGTTGAAGAAAACATGGGCCAACAGCAAAGCCAGGCGCGGATCCTGGAAGCAAATGTGACGCTCCAATATCTTCCACCCCACAAAGGATTCCAAATTCCTGTGGAAATCACCATCTATATAATTAAGAATTTACGATAATCTAAGCATCTCATGCCTATAGCCCTATGGCTTTCATGCACTTCCAGCTGGTAGATTCTGATATTATGATGCTTTACATAATTCCATTTGGTGCCGCATGTTGCATATGGCATATGTCGTGCATGTTGGTGCATGTCTTTCGCTGCCGCATCCATTCCCAGAATGCAGATTCCCCTTTGCGAAATCTCTTTTGAGGACAGGCTTGTTGTTTGTCCCCCACACTTAGGGAAACAGGAAGGTGGGCCTTCCAATGGCTAAGAAACACGTGCACCCTTGGCCCTGAACCTGCCTGGTTCTTGCTGCGAAAGCCGCAGGCCCAAAATGCTGGAGGTACCTTCAAAATAGAACGTAGAATCATGAGCCTGGGTCGTGGAAGCATCCAATTTACCCTTACCATCCCTTACCCATCTGCAAGGACCTACTGGTGGGTGTAGAAAGTTCAACCATCAATGCCGTTGCTGTTTACATGCTGTGCTTTAAAAGCAGCTCTGGCCAGTATAGTCTCCCAAAAGTTTTGACCATGCGGCTCCAAGACAAATTGTGACATTTTCGCTTCCTCCGCCTCTGCCAGAATACAAAACGAGTCAAGCACCGAGGGACCATCTGCCTCCGCTCAAAAAGCTGTACAAGTGCGTCGAGCGATGAAGCAGTCTAGACAACACCGCGCTGCCTCAGCTAGGACGGCGCTGTTGCAACGTGATAAGCTGATCTAGCTGACGCCAGCCTGGGCAGCTACATGACATGCCACCTCACAATTTTCAGTTGGAGGTGCTCCCTTTTGTAGGGGGCTCCCCACATGGACAGCCGGCTCTTGGAGATTCAACAACTAAGGTTGGGAACTGCGTGGCTGTGATGGTCGCATATTCCGCCAACATCGTCCAAGCACGCCGTGGTGGCCAGCAGCCAGGATGCTTTTCGAAGATGTTATTCGAGTGTGTCTTGAACCTTGGAGATATCATGTGCATAAATTTGGACATTAATCTACCGTACAAGTGTGCTTTGTTTATGCTTTCATTTCAATATATTCTACCTGGGGATCACCGCCCGCGAAAAATGACATCCACTTTAAGCGGATTCAAACCTAGGCTCTCACGGCCTCAGTCGCCCCTGCTGAATCGCCCCAGCTCGCTGCACGGCTTCCCTGCCGATCAGCACGTCGCTGCAGCGACCCTCAATCCTCCTTTAGCCCTTCACCCTCACCAAAGGTCTCCTCCGGGTCCAACCGTCAAATCAATCTACAGCACAGGACGGATTCACAAAGATCTGCACAAAGCCAAATCATCGCTCCATGTTCTATCCATGCTGCATGATGACAACACGTGTGTCTTACTCTGCCGGTCCAACTCATTGAAACAATTGCCCGACTACCGCGAATCACGGTCCTTAATGGCATCTTTGATCATCTGAGCCCCCACCTTCTGGTGGCACGTCGTCAGGGACTTTCCATTCACTGCCTCAGCCACAACGTGGATCATTCATCGTGGCTTGGCAGGGCTTCGCGCCGCATCTTTCTCAATCTGCCTTATGGATTGGCCCATCACGCCAAAAAATGTCAGAGCTCTGCTAGGTGCGGAACTTCCCGACAATTTAACCTCTCGCCACCCATCCTAACTACCTGAGGCAAGGACGGTGAGAATCCATCCTGCACGAACGTCCAAGTTATCGTCCACCACGCAGCCTTTGTCATTGATGTTGGCCACCTACCACACATGCAAAGCATGAGTGAACCCGAAAACTCGGCCGGGACCGTGAAACGTCAAAAAAAAATAGTGTGCTTTCTGGCAAACCGCCCCTACTTAATTAATTAGTTGCTGCCTACTTAATTAAGTAAGGAGGTAAGCTTCTATCTAGGTAGGACACAGGATAGCTCACGCTTCTTCAAGGAAGCTCCCCACCGCCCTAAAGGCGGCGAGGGTGAGCTTGTTCAAGCTTTGGTTCCTGGCTTTTTAGGAAGAACATGTTGAAACATTGTTGCCAAATTGTTCTGTATGTTATGTTATGTTATGTTGCGCAATGTTGCTTCAAAACGACCCGGCAGCATTGCTGCGGAGTGCCTTGAGCGGCGCTTGCTTGTGAGCTAGTCTGAAGCCCAGAGGTGCCTTTCGGAAGACCACGTCAACTTCTTTTCCTTCCTGAGCTTTGCCGGAGTTTCAGTCGACTAAGGTCGGAGACGAAGGAGTTTTCTTTGGCCATGCAACGCAAGGGTAAACTCAACTCATGAGATCGTCTGCATGCTGGCCAAGATTCGTCTGTCAAGAACGTGAGTTTCACTCCCTTCTGCCTCAAACAAGGAGGCTTGAAGGCTACCTGGAACGTCTAAGTCTTTATATAAGCGGCATCGTATTAAAAAAAAAAAATAGACCCCAGCGTGAAAAAGAGTCTAGAGTCCAACAGCTTTCAAGACGACAGGATCATGCAGCCAAAGGGCAACAGCGATGCCTCAAAAGCAGAGATCAAAGGTGTAATTGCAGCACATCTGCTTCCACAGATGTTCGCGGTATGATTTCCGCTGATGTACTGCACACGCTCAACACTCAACAGTGGCCCCAACTCCCACGACAAAAACCTTTAGCACAATGAGGCAGAAGCCGATGCCTCGGACATCCTTCGCATTGAGTTAAAAAAATACTTACAAAATGAAAACTGTTTAAGGACGTGACATACTGAGCAAAATAACAAACTTAGTGATGCCCAAAGGCACACCTGTGCTCTGTATCTTCCGGCTCTTCTGTCACACTAATCTAAGGTTGAGATCATTTGAGATCTACATGCTGGCTAGAGGCATCCTCTACGACCTTGGCGTGGCAAGTGGTGCATGCCAACTCCACGAAACCCATTGTAATCATTGTAATCAGCAATGGCAACTGTGATGAATGCATCAGTGGACTTCAACACCCGACCTTGCAGACTGAGGCGCATAGCAAACGTTCGTACAGGAATTTCCCATACGCGTCAGGGCCAAATTCGGGATGACAATGCTGAGTCTGAGCCGCAAAGGCTCACAGTTTGATGCAGTTTGGCAGGACATGCGTGCCCCATGTTGTCACAGGCTTGACCTGTGGGCATAACCGCCGGCATAACGATAAGTTCTGCCGATCCTAGTTAGCAGAGCGCAAAGTGTTTCATTGAAACCAACCTACCCCGCCCTGCTTGTTCCGCCAACACGCCGGGCGGTGTGCATGAATCATAAACCTCAGAATTGATATCTACTAACCCAACATAGGCGCACTGCTTCGTCGTCTTCGTCTGCAATGGCCTCATTGCATCAGTGAGCAAGCCCTTCCACCGCACAAGCATTAAGCATTTCCCTGGCGGAACCACCCGGATCTCCCGTCGCTCCTCGAAGAGTTGACCGATCTCCCATTGTCAATTGCCGTGCAACTTAGGCGTCGGCGATCAGCAACTTGGCGATACAAGTTCGCTGCGTAGCGGTGAGCCTCATGGTTGCGTCGCAGCAGCTAGAAGGTGATAGACTTTGCTAAAAGCTTGAGCCGCTTAAGCGGTTCAGAAAGAGAAAACGTGGCCATGAGCCTTCCTGTCTGCCTCGCACTTTCTCTCTGCTGGATTGATGGCAACTGGACAGCGATGCAATATGATGCAATGGAAAACGTCCCAAAAAGTTCGAAATGAAGCCAGTCTAGGGTCTTTGTATTACGCCCTGATGTGCGCAGGCAGCCTCATACAGGCCCCGTAATCGATAAGCCCGAGCTTGCCATCTGGCATCATGAAGACCTTGCGGGAAAGAGTGGACCCCCCCACCGTGGCAGAGTTTCCGACAAGACGCACACTCGGCTGGGACAAGTAATTGCAAAATTGAAATATGTAGGTTGATGGAGGGGAACTGCCCCCCGTATGACTTATGAACAGGACTTTCAGGCGCTCACATTGCCAGCATGCGGATCCGAGTTGAAGAGACCAAGTTGGAAAATCTCGTAGCCATGCACATCGTAAAGGAGCCTGCCGTGGAAGCAACTCTTTCAATCCCTGAAGCTATCAAACACATTCGCCTGGCATCGCCTGGCTGATGATGGAGGCCCCGAGGCCCAACTCATGCGAATTTTGGACTTGGCCCATGGCCTTCCCAAATCCGAAGATGCTGTGGAATGATCCTATCAGCTTAAATGAGCAAGATCCTTCCCGGACACCTTGTCCAAAACCTTCCACCTGACAGGAACATTCAGCTGTCGTACATCCTTACAGCACTTTGTAGTCGTAGAGTTCTGATCTGCCGACCCTGGGGCCATTTATTCTCCCAAAAGGACCAGCTCAATCCAAACATGAGCTACAAGGCATTCAACATGCATGCACCCACAGAATCTCTCCAAATCGGTCGTCTTAATACAGGCACAGACCAGGCAAAGTGCTGCCTGGCGAAGCGCGGCCCATTCAAAGGCACTGGAATGCACTTGCTCCAACGAGGAGGTTCCACCTTGCAGGAGTTCGACCCAATCGCTTCTCTCAAGCTTCGAGTCCAGTGAAGTGTGTTTCTAGTGATCCAGGATCACCTGATTGTATAACAAGTGCCTCTGCCGTGCCCACCCTTGTTTTGCGCTGGAACCGCTCCATGGCCCTCGCAGTCTCACAGACTGCAATCTAAAGCCCCATCTCGAGAAGACCATCAACACTCTGCAGCTAGGAAGCAATGTTGCAAACATGGCGGACATACGCACACGCTCTCATTGCCTCACACCAGTCCTTGTTGGAATCAGTGTCCTTTCTGTCTCTCTGTGTTGATGGTCTTGCCTCTGCGTTGTGAGGTTCCCCCTAAAAGCAACAACTATGGACACTGCATCATGGCAGGTGGATGCCAACCAGGCTTCTGTTTCTATACATGTGTCATATATACATAGTGCAATGCTTTACCCTATCCTTGTACCAAATTCACATAGCTCACCTGTGTTGCATCCACCCTGGCCATGAATCCAAACTCGCCCTCCTTCTGGTGCGACATCTCTTGTACAACAGTTTGAAAATTGACTCCTGATAACAAAGGGCGAAAGAGAATGAAAGAGAGATTTGCCACTGGACAAGAGTGGGCCGAGACGGCAAAAACTCCCTGAGCTAGGGTTGAAATGGAGACAAGGTCCCCACTGCCTCAACCTAGGACCAACAACCCGAATCAGCTTCCTCAAATGGTGGTCTCTGTCGGGCGGTGGAACTCGTAATTCCAAATCTCCCAAAAATTGTGCTGGGTCTCGCAGTACCTCAGATTCACAGTCGTATGGAAAGGACAAATGAAAACATAATATGCTATAATATGCTCAGCAAAATCGGCTGCTGAGAATCTCAGCTCAAGCCGAAGGGCTTGCAGTTAAACGCCATCACATCCTTTTGCTCTTCCCCTGCACCTGGCCGGCTCGTGGAAACAAACTGCTGCGAACTCACAGCTGGGCGACCTGGGCAAAATGGCTTCGTGGAGGAAGTCTTTGGTTAGTAGCGATGGCCTCCAACCTAATAGCGATGGCCTCCAACCTAGAAGCGATGCCTTTGTGGGTTGTCTTGGGTGGCCATATCAATATGTGCGTATGCTTTGCATGTGACTCTTTGCTTTGAGCGCTTCTCGACTAGAAACTGCTCGGTGGAGCCAGCCGGCAAGCCAAACAACTGCAAGTCAACCGGCGAATCGAAACCTTGTACTGTAATGGTTAGATATGGTTAGTGACCTTTCCAACTCTTTTTCACACATGCCACCCGACAATGCTTCTCCTGCAAAGGCAAGCTTGTCAAAGTGCGACCCAAGCCGCATTGCCGGCAGCGCTCAAAGAAGGGCTCCACTTCGTGCTGCATATTCTGCGGATGGGACACACAAGCAGTGTTCTTGCAGGAGATGTCCTGCAGATTTGTCACCATGTGACATCCAACCCACCAACGGCGACTCAAACCTCAAAACAAGAAAGAGCTCAAGTATTGATGTTAGTCGTGCATTTGGCAGCGTTGCCACTTTCACAAGGAATGAAAATAGTTGGGTTGCATATGGACATACGACTTTCCAGCAGGACTTCCCAAATGACTGTACTTCCAGGGAGTCAAACGGCTGTCCCAACGAGCGTTGGTTTGCCCTTGGGGATCTTTCGATGTACTAGTGTCTTTAGGGCTCTTTGAGGCATGCCTGCGCGTGTTGCCCTCCTTGAAGTTGTAGACCCGAGGCGGCACTTCGAGACGGAACTCCCGCTCCACCTTGCCATCTTTCATGACTTTCAAAGTGCTTCCTGGAGCCATGGCTGCTAAGCGCCTGGGAGCAAAGGCCCACGGGAAGAATCACAGGACAGGGATTCACTTTGAGGACGCGCATATGATTCCACTCTGAAGATCTGTCCAGGCACTTCAGTGGCTGTCGATCCCAGCTGCTGATGTCTACATCTGGGACCGCGATAAAGCCGCTGCCCTTGCCTGGAAACCGTAGGCATTTGACCGGAATGGTCCAGCCTGCATCCTGCCTGGAAACTCTTCAGATGCTCGAACACCTTGACCTCCTACACCATGGAGGTCCAGAATGTCCCGAACCATGTACATCAGGCTCCAAACCTGCCGCTCTTGCTGTGCAAAATTCACAAAAAACACAAAGGGTTTGCTTGCCTATCAAAATCTTCACGCTAGTGCACCAATTGGCATGCATTCTCAAGCGCACCACCTTCTTTCTTCTATTTTAGGTGATAGGAGTCCAACGCCACCTGCTCAATGTTCTGGCCAGATGCCAGGTTGTCAATGATGATTCCGTTGGCAATAGGCACCAATCCCACCTCACAGGTGTTTATCAAACTTGCTCCGTCTTTTGTAGCGGTGTGCCAAATGTCCTATCCCATGGGGTGACACTGAGTACCTATGCAACCCTGTTTTGACAACCACTTTTGCAGCTTTCTCGAGCCTCTTCACTCACTTTGTCTGGGTAGCTCTCAGGCATTGACATGGCCACTTCCTGCACTCAATCACACTCTTGCGTGCTTGACCCCGCGTGTACCGTGTACTCCATGTCTAAGTAAAAAGTGATAATGACAGTATTATATCAACAACCTCAATCTTGTGCTCAATATTCAAGGACTATATATATGTATACTACATATATTCATATATTTCTCTCAAGCTTGGCTGTCTCCTTGATGAAATCTGTGGCTGCCAAGAATGCTGGGGAGTAGCCCAGATCTAAGTCGTCCGGCATGTCACTGACGACCGGCCCCGATGTAGGTGAGAAGTCTCCTGTCCACTGATGGACATGGTCCAAGACATGCAGTGCATGCAACTGCGAAAGCTCATACTCTAGTCACTTGTCCTGTGTATGGGCTCTTCAGGAGCATGGGACTGGTAGGCAAAAAGGGCTCAGCCTTCAGGATTGCATGGCGCCGTCACTGCTACTTTTGGTCTTCATTTCCAGCAGCCATAATCAAATGCAAATACTACACGCCTTCCCTGTACTCCTGAAATCATCTCCAAAGTGTCCACCTCCAGGACAGGCTTGGATGGTTCGGAGGGGAGGTTGTGGAGACACTCGGCCACTCACAAGTCAATCATCAATCGACACCTAGCATGCCCAGCAGGACAATGCCTCAGTCATGGATTCATCTCGATGGCTTCAAAATACTAAAACATGTTTGCCAAGAAGCGCGTGAAGTAGCCATTCCTCGGAGAAAAAACATGTCATGTGCAAAGTAGCTGAAAAGTCACGCAACATCGGCACCACGAAATGCACAAAGAAAAGGCAATCGACTCTATACGTTTGCAGATACATGCAAATACAAAGTGTGAAGTGTCTGCCAAATATCTGGAGGGAAACATGAGTGAACCCTATTGAATCTAACGTCTGTGCACATTGGCAATTCACAAACAGCAGCGGCTCTGCAGCACGGATTGGCAAGGTGTGAACATCATGTGAACATCTACCAACTGTCCCTCCAAGTGTCTGTGACTGCTGATCCCAGCCATTAAGCTCTGTGCTATCAAGCCAGTAGGGCAAAACGGGGTACCTTGCATCTCGTGGCCTCAGCGATCAACACCACAAACATGTGTCATGCGATCCATGATGAGATCATGAGGTCATCCCTCAAGCCCTCAAATTACTACCCTCTGAGCTGCAGCTGTTTCGCCTTCGTTTTCAGCCATGCGTGAGCTCGTGCACGTCCAGGGAGGCCAGTGCGGCAACCAGATTGGTGCTAAGTTCTGGGAGGTCATTGCGGGCTTGAGCTGGCTAAGCGACAACGTGATTTGCTATCAGTTCGGATTCCCTCTGCTGTGGATGAGATTTCTGGTGAGTCTCCTCTTGCTCTCTCTTGGTCACCTTTGCGGTGCCATCCGCTTTCCTGGGTGGTGTCGAGGCAAGTGTCGATTTGTGGGCAAAGTCAGGAAAAAGGCCCGTCGTCGACGACCTCCGTGTGGTCTTTGGCGTCGGCTGGGTCGGTGTTTAGGCTTGAGCTTTGTGTGGTATAGTGTGCACACGCTTCTGTTGCTGCTCGTTGGCTTTGGCGCTCCTTGGGTGAGGCTGGTGCTTTACTCCGGGAGTTCCTTGTCTCCGTCTGAGCCTGGGTTGCGTACTGACTGTAGTCGTGCACAGCTGCCTTGTTTGAATTCTTTGTTTCGTGGTGGTGGCGGTAGTGGCCCTCAGGGTCGTAAACGTCGAACTAAACAGGATCCGAACTTGCTTCTTCAGGCCCTGGTTGCTGCTGTGCAGCAACTTACGGGCCCTTCTGGTGTTGTCGCTAAGGGCAAACGGGCGAAAAAGAAGAAAAAGAAAGAAGTGAAACAATCTGCCTCTTCTCCCTCTTCTGGCGATCTGACCGCTTTTGAGAAAGTCGTTGCAGGTATTCGTTCTCACCCTTCTGAGTTGGTCAAGCGGTTGGAAGGTTTCTTGTCGCAAATTAAACACCCTAAGGGTGCTGTCAAGACTCCTGCTCCCAGCCCTGTTGATGATGGTCCCCCCAAGTCTAAGACTTGGGCCGATGTTGCTAAGAAGGGTGCCAAAGATCAATTGGTGTTGGCGAAGCCTTGTTTTGAGCCAAATGCTGTGCAGGATTTTGCATCGGTGCAGCGATCACTTGAAGCTGGAGAGAAACCGGTTGGAAACATCTCGGTGGCTCCCTCGTTGGAACGAGCTCTTGAAGCTCGTGATCTTGCTGAAGCGCATAAGCTCGATCTTAAGTTTGCGTTGCTTGTTGACGTGCCTTTGGAGCCGTTGCCGCCCAAAGTTGTCGAGGTCACTTTGCCCGTCGTGTCAGGTGAGCGCAAGGTGGTGTTTAGGAAGCTTGGTTGTGTTGCGCTGGGGTCCGGTTTGCCGGATTTGCCGTCCGCATTGGTCAAGGAAGTGAAATCCGTTCCGGTTCAGAAGGCATTGGCCACGATGCGTGTGCATGTGCCAATGCAGTTCTTGGCCAAGGATCAGTGGCATGCTTGGAAGTCCAAACCAGTTGCGTTGGTGAAAGAGTGGCTTGGTGACATTCCCTT